TATATATTAAAATTTTATTTTGATTTTTTTTATTATATTTTTAGTCTTTTAATTATAAAAAATATATTTTTTTTTAGTTTTTTAACTTATAACATATGTATATTTTTCATCTCTCAATTTAAAAATTTAAAGACTAAATATATATATGAATAAATTTAATGAACTAATTGATAAAAAATTCTAAAAAATATGTATTTTTCATAATAAAGGAAAAAAAACAAATAAAAGAGTTAAGGGACAAAACTATACAACATTTTAAAGTCAAGGGACCAAATTTGACATTTAACTTTCTTTTAATTTAAGATCACTCTTTTGCCTTGCATGGTGCAGAGAATTTTTTTTAATATAAAACTTAGTGGATTGCATTTCTTATAGCCATTGATAGAGGAACAAGGCCTTTTTAATATTGAGGGTCCACCCCTCCATTAATGAGTTATAGTAGTATAGTTTGCATAAAGTAAATTACACTATGACGCTCTCTATTTTTAATGATTGTATGAACAAAAAAAATATTATGTAGTCTAGAAAGTTATTGTTTGATACTGTTAAATATTGTTTCTAATTTCATGTCTTCTTGAATGTCCATGTCTTGCTTTGGATTTTGCCTTAATAATTAGGGTTCTAAGAATGTTACCTTAGGCTCTGATTCAATTCCTGCCTTTCTCTTTATTGAAGCAATGTTAGGAGCTGTTGGACCAATGTGCCTTAGATTTTTGCCTTACTCTAAAATCTGCATCTTAGATTTTGCCTTATTAATTAGGTTCTGAGTCTATTTCTGCCTTTCTCTTGTTGCATAACCTGTCCTCGTTCTTCTCCTCACATGTTGAGCCAATGCTGAACTAATTGAACCTAGTTCCCCATTAAGGTTACCTTGGTTAAGGGTAGAATCATCATCAGGAGATGCAGATCTTAGAATTTGTTTTTCCCTCAAAATATTTCTAATTAACAAGCAAAGAGAGCTGCCTATTTGATGCAGTTGCAACAGTTGGTAACTTCTTCCTGAGTAAGAGACTGTTACATGAAAGATTCTACACGAAAATGAGACAGCAGGTAATGATAACTGCCATGTGCCGTCTAATGTCTCTGTCAGAAAATTAACAACTTCTTTTCTACAAAATGTATGTTTTCTTGAAGAAGAAAAAATTTAAACCCTAAATAAACAAATATTGAAGAAAGAAGAAGAAGCAAAATCTTAGGAGTTAATGGCCAGCAAGTTAAAATCAAGTACAGCAGCCAGTTTTCTTTCCAGATTCTTGTTCCTGTGGAACAAGGATTCTGGTTCCCTTAAGAAGTCCTGCACTTCCATTGGGATCATGCTCATCATTTGCAGTAAGGGTTTTCTTGCTGATTATCCGGTATATCTCAGTTAGAACTGTGAAAAAGGCAGTTTCAACATTAGTGGCCTCTAGCGCTGATGTCTCCATAAAGAATAGGTTTTCTCTTTGGGCAAACTCTTGTGCATCTTCAGTTGGCACTGCTCTCAGACTTCCCAAATCAGACTTGTTGCCAATGAGCATGATAACAATATTTTTATCAGCATGCCCTCTAAGTTCCTCCAGCCACTTTGCCATATGATCAAATGATTGACGCTTAGTCATATCATAAACTAACATTGCTCCAACTGCTCCTCGATAATATGCACTTGTAACTGCCCTATACCTGAACACAAGGGTAAGGAGAAGGTGTCAAAATGCCACAAATTATATGCTATGCAACAGACAAAGCAAGAGCTTACAAGAGAATCAGTTGACATATTAGGGCCTAATCATTGGAGTTTAGAGTAAACGAAGACAGACATTGGCTAAGTTGGCTGAGTTTCAGATAATATTGCACAGAGTTTGACCAAGAAACCATGTTCAACATGCCAAAAGGAAAATTCACAATCGCTGCTTGAAATATTATGCAAATCACTTTCCTCCACTCTTCATTCTAATAAATCTCCTATTGTTAAGCAATATCTTATCTATCTATCAAAGATGCTAGAAAAATCATAGAAAATGAATATCATTAAAGTTGTAAACATGGTATCAGTCTACTTGAGCTGTTAGTGGTTTCAGAAACTTTTATTGAAAGCATTCTCTCCTGTAACAACAGATGCACTGAATCTTAAATCACCATTTTAGCACCTAACTTCTTGTTGTGCAAGAATGTCTTGCATGTTTGTGTATTTTAACTTCCCTTCAACCGCCAGAATTTAGTCAATTAACTCCACTACTTAAATACAATATCATTAATGTTGCTAATCACTTCACCACTAATAAGATTCACCATAAAATGTAACTCTATCAAACTAACTGATCTGTTTATTTGATGAACTTCCTCATCCATGAGATATGGACAATCACTTCCTAGCTAGTAGGCAGATATATTATCACTGGCAGAGCCAGGAAATATTTTTAGGGGGGCAAAATAAAATTTGATTAAAAAAGATAACTTTGTGTGTCAATTTGAAAAGTAAAAAGAAAATATTTTAAATAACATGTGTTAGTCTTTAATGATAAATTACTAGTAGTCAATAATGTAATATAAAAACCATTAGTTAAAAGATAAAAGTAGACATATATTAAGTAGAATAATATATACTATGAACGAAGAGGAAAGAAGTAAAAATATTAATGAACAAACACTATATAAAAAAATAATAATAAACAATTTTTAATCAATTAATTTTTACTTTTTTCCATATTTTATATTATCTTTATTTTCTCCATCTTTCTCTTTATCATCAAAAGTAATCTTCAACAACATAAATACTAAAAACTGCTTAAAGTGGAGTGAAATAAGAAAGGATAAAAATGACAAAAATAAAACAGAAATTACCAAACTAAATTTTTTACAAAAGTTTAGGGGGGGCCTGTGCCCCCTCATGCCCCACTTTGGCTCTGCGGGTGGCAGCTTGTGTACATGATCACAATAATGGGACAATCAGTAACCTACAGCCCACAAAAGAAAAAGACGCCGGATTACAACCAAAGAAGACGAATCTTTTCCTCTTTTTAAAACCTTACAGAGAATTCATTCTCATCAGCTATTCAACCCCTGACGACAACCATACCAGCAGATTTACTCGATGGAAATATAGGAGCGATCAAAAGTGCAAAACAAATTTCACATGCAAGATCAAGATTCTGTCTGACAGAGAAGCTGATATGACATACAAGTGATAGAAAAACAAGGAGAAGGTAGGATAGGAAGAAGAATATGGATTGCCATTAATGAATAAAAATAATGATATACTGTTTGAAGACTTGGTATTGCAAATGGAAGGAAAGAGCAAATGTTCTTTGAATTCAGAGAGTAAGAACAAAATGCAACCAGACCTGGTATGTAACATGATTTCAATCAAGGTATTAATTAGTCAGCAGAGTCAATATAAAATGAACTTTGATAAAAATAGAGCATCAAAGCAACAGTGGATGTGAAATTAAAGACTAGATTCAAGGTTTGGAAACTTATCCTCAGAATAGGAAAGATGATAGTGCAAGTGAAGACACCACGAAAGAGCTTATACAAACAACAACAACAGCTGCTGCTACAGCAAGCGGTAATCACAAAGCACAAGAATGATTGCAAGATGTCGTTCTATCTAATTATCTAATATCTTTTAAATTAAACCAAAGTTCACTGACAAGCAATGGTTTTTTGCAAATTCTGTCTAAAACCACTCCCGGAAGACGGCACCATTTCAAACCAGCATCATAATACTCAAACCACCAACTGAATCTAAAACATATAAGTCCCACACAAGCAGCCTCCCTAACGAAAACACTTCTGACATTGAAAATGAAGGCCTACTTTGAATAATCTAAAAAAAAAGAAGAAGAAGATAATCCAAACATGAACCACCTGATTCCCTGGATTCTATTGAACAAACATATGTACAGATCCTCCAAGCTAGCTAATCTACCATTACTACTACTAACGCTTCATAATTTCCAGAATTCTACTTGAAACATGGTATTATTGTTATCCTTCCTACCACAACTACAAATGCGAGCATATGTTATCTCCAGTGATTCTTATTTCATTCCATTTTTGTCCCCTACTCCTACCTGACTTTCAATACATTTTGCTTCCACCATTTTCTTAATTCAAAAATGAATTTGTCAAGAACAAGATACCTATTTATCTTGAAGGTCATGTGTTCTTGGGATAGGTAAAAAGGGACAACATTCAATGATTTCCCTCAATTCCTCATAATAAGCACAAAAATTAATCCAAATGCAGAACCCATCTTATCATCATATCACAGAAAAAAGCAATAATGGACACCTTTCTTGTCCGGCGGTGTCCCAAATCTGTGCTTTGACCGTCTTGTTATCAATAGAAAGTGTTTTCGTCTGGAACTCGACCCCTATCGTGGCTTTTGAATCCAGGCTGAATTCGTTCCTCGCAAAACGCGCCAAGAGCTGAGATTTCCCCACCGCCGAATCACCAATCAACACAACTTTGAATACATAATCAATCTTTTGGTTGAAATCGCCATATAAATTTGACATCGTTGCCACGATCAAATCTCACTCAATTTCCCCAAACCCAACTCTCAAAATCCACGGATTTGAACATAGAACATAATTAAATCGCGTACAACAACCATGCAGGATGGGAAATCATGCGAATCCATCGCATTTTTTAAGATCAAGTAAGAAATTGAAGGCGGAAAAACGAAAGACAAAGTTGGAAACAGGTTAATCGGAGTCGGATGGGAACGGGGATGGAGGGGAGAGGTCAATCGGAGAAACTGAAATTAGGGTTGGGGTTAGAGTTTGAGGAAGAAGAAGAGCAGGGGAGTTTCAGGCATGGAGGATGTAATTGAGTCTGCATGAGGCTTGAGGCGAGAGAGAGAAGGGGATGACCAACGGTCCGTGCGGGGCCCATTTAACTGTTTTTCAGAGTGTGTACTGTCGAGCAAATTTCGTACCTTAGATAACTGACGGTTGATTTGGGGCCTTCTGTGATCGCCGACTTTTATAGCCGTTCGATTTGTTTTCCTTTTTTTTTAAATTTATTTCGAGGTGAGGGTGTTTGGGCAGTTTGTCTATATTTTGAGATTAGTCTTTCTTATCTATAAATTTTTTTTTTTTTATCTTGACAGATTGCTGGGTAATTATTTCTTATGTTTTATTTTATTCAATTTATAGGTTATATGATTGAAATTCAAGATTTTTTATTTTTGATAAGAAAAGATAATCACTGAATTATTTAAATCGTTAACATCTTTCTAATCTAATTAAAAATTAATTATTAAATTAGAATTAAGAAATTTACAAGAAGCACTGGGCCTTGTGGCACAATGATTGTAAATCATCTAGTAAGGTGCATCTTCCAACCCAAAAAATTAAGGTTTGAACCTCTTATATGCAATTATAAACCTGTTTAAAAAAAAAGAAATTTATAAAAAATTATTTTTTTTATTAACTTATTGGCTTCTTTAAAAAACCAAATCTTAGTAAAGTAAGAGAAAACCCTTGGTATCCCTTTGATTGTTATGTAATTAAGATTGATGTGCTCATATGAAGAAACTGCAAAGGAGGACAGAAATTCGACACGGGTATAGTGTCGACACATAATTTTGGTGTCGACACCATGTGGTAAACGCCCAAAACTCCGACACGGACGTAGTGTTGACACATGTCTCAGGGGTCGACACCATATGAAAGGTTACTCCACTCATATGTTATGATGCCTTTCAAGTTATGATATTTATGGGTTTGGGGTACCCCTTGTACTTCATTTATTAATAAATAAATATTATTTTTTGCTGTTCAAAAAAAAAAAGAGAAAACCCTTGGTATCCCTTTGATTGTTTGTTGTCAATAAAGTTAATAAAAGAGACTACTCTCTAATTTATTAATAAAAGTTTCATTTTTTTAGAAAGATTAATAAGAAGATAATACCTTATCAATATTGTAGTTTTGACATGGATGACAAACTACTTTCTTCTAAAGTGATAAAAGATTAATTTAAGATAGGTGCAAGATTACCATGCGATACTCAAATTAGTAAATAATAAAAAAAGTGAATAAATAAAAAGCATTGTTAAAGAAAGTGTTTTATAAAAAACATTACAATAGTTAAGAATTTAAATCTCTTTTATTAAAATTCTCAAAATCATTCCTTAGTATATAACTTATCTTTAAAGAATTTATTGCGCATTATTGATGATTCAACATTTTTATTCCAAATGCATGGTTCACCCATCAATATACGTCTAAATTGCTAGCCTATCATGACACCTCATTTTGCACTTACGGAGTCTTAGTCAAGGTTTCTTCAAATAATCCAAGTGGAAAACCACCACAAGCACACAGGCTGGGACGTCCTATTGGACCATTGCAGGTGCATCTTTGACTAGGACAATCAGAGTCTTTAGTGCATAGAATACTAAAATTTCTTGTTACCGATATTGCTGGTAGACTTAAAATAAAGACAAATAATTCATTTTTATTAGTAAAATTCAAAACTTATCATATTATTTTCAAATTTTGATAATGAACTAGTTGGTACCATAAGTAAATGTCAAAATAAAAAAGTCGATCAAAAACTTATTAATAGAACAAAAAATTGCAACGAAAGTTAAAGGTAGCTACTAAATTACCTAATGAAAATATTAAGAAAGTGACTAAAACCAACTTGAATGAGAGCTTCTCCATATATTTTTTTCTAATGTTGGTATTTGCTTGAGATAAAATATGATTAATACCCTCCACTTTTCAAAGCTTCAAATTTATTTATTTATATATATAATATGCTACCCTATGTTTTAATTAAGGTATGCATTTAACAGTTGCTGAAAAAAAATGGAAAAAGGAAGAGATGCATTAAAAGGGAATAACATGCATTTTCATTATTATTTCTATTACATGTATATTAAATCAAAAAATAAAGAGGGATATGCCTTTTTGTTTTCACCTTCATGTAAAACCCAATTAAGCTATTTATTAAAATATTTTTTTTTATCTTTATTATATTTAAATTTTAATATTAAATCTAAATTAATAAAGTATTTATGCTAATTAGAACTCCCAAACTTCCTTCTCTAGACCTATAAAAGCCTACAAAACTAAAATGTTCAAGACCCAAAAGTAGGTGTCTTAATTGATGGTACTTTCCAACTCATAAAACCTCTTACTCACATTTAGACCTGATAATTTTTTACTCAACCCGTCAACCTACCCATTACCTGCCCATTTAAAATGGGTTAGGGTTATATGTTTATGACCCGCGACCCATTAATGACTCATTAAGAGAACCCGACAGGTCACAGGTTAATAATAGGTTAATCCACCTAGTTAACAAGTTTGACTCATTTACCCGTCTAAAAATTAAAAAAATTTTAATTTATTATTCATTTATTTTGTTTTTCAATTCCCAATCCCACCTAAACCTCTAATAATTGACTAATTTTCTCTAATTAGCTAATTGATTCTCTTAACTCATCATCTTCTAGAAGTAAAAATAATCTCACTTCATTTATGACTCACCTCTTGACCTTTCCTATTCTTGCTTGCCCTAATACTTTCTAGGACTCTAACTCTTCAAAGTTCAAACTCTTCTCATATTCTTCAACCTCCATAGTCCATACAGCCTTTGACTTTCAAGTTTCGACTCCACCTTTTCTCTCTTTAGTCTTTAACATTATCTCAGACTTAGATTTTAGTCTCACCAAGTCACCATCGCGTCCACTTAGCCCTTTCTTTCTTTCTCCTTCAAGTTTGACAAGTGCTCTCTTTGTCACCAACTTTTCTCTCTAAAGCCTTCAAGGTAAGTTGTTTACTTATTTATGCTTTTTAGTTTTCTCTCCATTCCAAGTAAAAATTCTACTTGATCTTGTCCTTTGCTTAGATGCATTCAATTGATTGATTCTTTGAAAGCAACGACTATAACAAATATGTTCCAATGGGGTTTGTGTTTTTTGGTTGTCATGCTACTACTGTTTCTTTTTTTGTTGCTATTGAGATTTATAAGTGTGTGGTGTTCTCAAATTTGGTTAGCGTTGTTCTTTGAAGGGAAGTGGAGAAGATGATTCTAAAGAACTATAAATATGTATACATTAAATTAATGGGAAAAAAATTTCTTTTTATAAGATGTTGAATTTTTTTTTGAAATCTTTTGAATAATTTTCTTTAAATGATAATAGGTACAAATTATAGAGAAAAAAAAAATTGGGTCAACCTGCAAGTTGACTTGTGACCCATGATGGGTGGGTTAGGGTCTACCTTCATTTACCTATGACCTGTTTTAACCCAACCCATTTTGATCCAACCCGTTTTGACCCAACCCTCACCTGACCCAACCCGCCTGTTTGCCAGGTTTACTCACGTTATTTATCTAAATCAAGTCAATAAGTTAATATTTGGTTTAAATATTGTAGACACAAAAAAATTATTAGTCAATTAAAAAATGTCACATGTTAATTTAGGTAAAAAAATTTATGGGTTGAGAATTATATCAGGAAAAATAAAACAAAAATATCATTTTTTTCATCTTTATTTATTGTAATTTTGAAGTATATATATATGTAAGTACCAAAATATTCTTATAAAATCTTGAAATGGGGTATTTCCTAAAAATGTAAATCAAACATCCCTGACCTCCTTAAGTGAGCTCGAGAAAATGTACAAGAGATTAACTTTAAGAAATTTCTAATATATACCCTAAGACATAAGTTAAATGGGCATTTATTACATATTTTTATCAGTAATTTATATGAAAAAATAAAAGTAAACCTTAGTTTTATCAACAGCCTAATTAAAACATTTCATATAATATTGATATTAAAAATAACATTTATTTTTATAATTTTTCATATAAATTAATAATGAAAATGTGTAAAGGCACATGTTAAAAAAATTAACTTTACTATTATTTTATTCATTCACTATTCAAACTTCAACCGACTCGTAAGTCCATACACCATACGTTTTAAAATGGTTAACTATTGTGTTTTAATCTGTAGGGTTTCTCGTAAGTAAAAAACAAAAGGCTCAAGAAGTCCTCAGTAGCTTAGCAGTCACCTACTTTATAGTAAAAGTATTCTCATGTGAATCAAGATATGAGATTCGAATTTCACCTTCGTGTTAAAAGAAAAATATATATATATATATATATAGCAAATGGCTCAACATGGCCTAATTTGAAATTTTATTTTATTCTATTTTTTTTTTTGGATGAAAGCTTAATTTGGATTCTTTTGTGAGATGATGTAAAAAATACTTGAAATGGCTTTATGGGCCATGTCCACGAGTACCCAGCCCATGGAGATGGACATTCTCTTCTTAGTATCTGCATCTCCCCCATTGATCGGCTTCTTCTTCCTCTTCACCATGTTAGATTGTCGAGAAAATCCTTTCTGTGTTAACCAAATCTAGTTACTCAATTCTCATTCTTCACTCAAGCTTCTAGGATGATTTCTCTCTCTGATTTTATGGGAATGACAAATTGATATTATCTTTCTCCTTTTTAAGTGATAGATTTATTTCATTTATGGAAGAGAATTATGTTTTGTAATTCTGATTGTGCTAAATTATAATATAAAAATAATTAGATAAAAGATCGCTCAAAATATTAAGGGACTCACATGCCATCTAATAGTTTAAGTTGTATTATCTAAATTATACAACAATTTTTTCTTTACATAATTTGGTTAAAATTAAGTCAATGATATCAATAGCAAAGGTCCATAGAAAAATTATTCTTCATAATTTTCTTTTTTGGAATCCAATCCTGTTAATATCTAACTAATTAAATTAATATGCTTGCCATTGATATTAAAGTTAATATCAACTTTTATATTTTGATATGACTTAATAACTAAAAAAATGTATTAATTATGCCTTTGTGCATTAAGAGCACAAGTTAAAAAAACTATTCAATGAAATTAAAGTAAGTGTGGTCTTATTGATTGTTGGAGAATGCCCAAATTCACACCTACAGTTAGGTAGTAGGGATGGCTATATCCTTGAATAAAAAAACCAAGACAATTTCATCCATAAAATTTTTAATTT